AGCTGTGTGGTCTCCTGTATAGCAACATCCCCTTTTCTAAACCTCCTGGCCAGCCTCTGTGTCCTCACCAGGGCAGATGAGAGGGTGAGAATAACCTCCTTTGACCTGCTGGCCAAGCTCTTTTTAATGTGTCCCAGGCTTCCAGTGGCCTTCTCATGGGATAGTATGAGCCCCAGCAGGTTGTGCTTCTATACTCCCTCACCACCACCCTTTTTGTTTCACCACTATTGAATGCCCAGCAGCAATCAGTGCCTTCTCTATGCTTGCTCTTGCAATTAGTGCTAGATTCATCTATTGCTGATTTTAAACTGTCCTGACCAAACGCAACCAGTAATGGCAGCAGAGCCATTATTCCACATTACTGGAGGTTCCACCTTCTGGCAGGCCTGTGTATCCCATTAAATTCCAAAATCTGGGCTTTTGACACTCAGGTGGAGCGGGCTATGAGGTCCAGTTGGACTTCTGACCTAGATTTCCAGTTCTCAGACCATGCTGTGGAAAATTCTAAGCACAGATGTAAAAGTGAGATTAAATAAATAAGAATTACATTGATAGTTCTAACAGGTATGCCACCAAGGAATGGTCTCTATCAAGGGAAGAACAACTTCTTTTGCTGGTATTCACATCCAAAGAATTCATAAAGCTGTATTTAAACAGGAAAAACTCAGCTGTTGCATATTTCTGGGTAGGTACAGACAAAGATAATAAATACATATATTTACACACAGACACTACAGGATGAACTACTGCATGCTAGAACCATGTGGTCCTCTCTCCTTAGAATAGCATAAATGGATATCTTTATTCATAAATACATAAATGCATTTCCAGTGCATTTGGTCAGCTCAAGCTGCCCCTGGTTGAGCAGCAGCATTCCTGTCACCCATACATGCACAGCTCCTGGGCTCTGCAGCCCAGAGAACCAGGATCCCCAAGAGGAAGAGCAGAGCCAAGGGGATGCCCCAATGCCCACGGATGGGTGCCCTCACCACACTTCAGTCAGCAAATCTCCGTGTGCATGTCAGGATGCCCCAAACCACAGCATCCTGGTATTCTGCAGCCTCTTTCCTCCACTCCATCTGCCAGAGAGGAGAAGGATGGCCTGGGAGCCAGGCAGGATGCAGCCACCTCCTCTGTGTTTTGCCCTTTTGCAAATTGAGCTGCTCTATGGCCTCTGCTCTGCTTAATTGATCCAATGTCCATCTCCAGCAGAAATAAAATAAAATAAAATTGTTCTCCTGTCTCCTTCCTAATTTGCTTCAAATAAAATGTGCTTCTGCCTGAGTGAACGCCCTTCAGGGATACTTTAAATTGTCACAATGCATAAGGCTTTCCCTGAAATCTGCATTTTTACAGTGCTGAGTCTCCACAATAGCCCCTGGAGCCACGCTTAATGTATTTCAAGGGATGTAAAGACTTGCCTAAGCAACTTGGCTAGAAAAGCTAAGATTGCTTTGATCTAATTTCTTCCCATCTTTTCTCTCAGAAAAAAAAAACCAAACCAAAACAACAACATAACAGCCGAGTGTTGGGTTTTTTTCATTCTGGAAACAAAGAAGAAAGCCAAATACCAGCAAGAATTCCTGACCCAGCCCTGAGAACCCACTAAATCAAAGCATGATCCAACTGCAACAGGACAAGAGGTGTAAAGATCCAAGTCCCTGCAGGATCAGGGCCACTGCAGCTGATTGAAGCTGGTCTTGTTGCTTAAGGAACACAGTGAGAAAACAGCTTGATCCCACCACCAAACCATGCTTCAAGAAAGTAGCTAGGTAGCTCAGTAGGTACAATCTGCAAACATGAAGCCCCGCTAGAGGTTTGTAATTAACTCCAGACCTAATGACAGAACAGAGATACCACCAAAGGAGCAGCCATCACTGCTGATGCACGCAGAAGATCTCAGATCTGAGCACCTTTCCTGTGGAATTCTAGGACATGAGCCAAAAGCAAGCAGAAAGTCACCAAATGCCCTTCACCTGCGTTGCTTTAGTGATGCTAAATTACCTCCAGAGGTGCACAGCCAGCACACACAATGACTGCCCCTTTCTTTTCCCAGCTGGCCTTGCTTGGCTTCCTTTCCCCCTTTCTTCCAAGCCACTTTCACTGCAAAATTCTCCAGGGAAAGAGTGCTGAGTTCAGCCTGCTGCCCTCCTCCTCCTCCTCTCTGTGGGTGCTGCTGGAGAGCCCCAGAGGCTGCCCATCACACCAGGCTCCCTTTTCTGTCAGCACTGGGAAGAACAGCATTCAGTTCTACTGCTGGTGAGCATACAGACTTCTTGGGAGAACAAGTCCCAAATTAGCTGCAAGTAAATACCTGAAGGACAGCATCTAATCGATGAGCCCCAGGGTCAGATTGATAAACCCTCTCCTGCCACTGGAAAGGAGGAAAAGCCTCTTTTTGCAGAGGTTCCTATTCATATTCCTAAAACGTTTCAGTGAGGGGTAAACACAGTGTGGTGTTTTGTCTGTAGCTTGATTTCTAAAATCCATCAAGAAAATTCAAGTACGTCTCAGTCTGAAATAATTAACTGGGGGATCTGAAAACATTTCCTATAGAAACATTTCTCATTAGCTGGCAGATTATTTTAGTGGCACGCACAATTATCATAAAGAGCATGAAAGCTTTCAGCCCATCCAAATTGAACTTTCCTATATCCAGAAATAATAAAATAAGTAATAAAAATAAAAAGGCAGCAGGGAGGACCAGGCATGATGAATGGTGCGTTCCCACACCAGCCTTCATCTCTATTTAATGTGCAAACCGTAAGAAAGCTTTCTGCTCTACTGCCCACACCCCCATGTATAATGGATGTGCATGTAGATGTGTGGGCAAACACCAAGCTCACTTTTATAGAAATGTTTACCTTATTGCCCAGTGCTCTGGGGAGACACCTGCTCCCAGCATCCATGATGCCACCATGGGATATGGGAATATCACCACGGGACCAGGGGCTGCATGTGGCAGTGGGCTCCTCTTGCTGCATTTTCTGTGGCAGGAGGAGAAGGGAGGAGGCAGAAGGGAGGAGAAATGAGGAGGCAGAGGGAAAATCTCCTTTGTTTTCCTCCTTTCCTGCCTGCAGTTAGAAACATTAAACTGGACTTTCAGCAGGACCTTCAGTCCCATGGTACAGATAGAGCAGGGCCAGCTGAAAACTTGAGGAGATCTGGAGCCATGAGTCACTACGGCTCATCTTCCCCTTCTCCAGACAGATCCAAGCCCACAAGCATCCTCATCAGCTTTTCAGGGTGAAAGCACCCCACCAAGAAAAGCTCATCCACCCGATGCTCCTTTCTACAGCTCAGGGCAGGCTGGGGATGCTCAGATACCAGACAGCATCTTCTCCTTTGGCACAGCTCCAGCTGGGGTCCCAGGGCTGGCCCGGTGCATTGCAAATAGGTGTTATAAGGCCAAGGAGACAAACAGCAGCTGGCGTGAGGCTGGGAATGAATTATGGATGTGCCAGCCTCCCTGGAGAGCTTGTGGTGGGGAGCAGAGGGGCTGCAGGGCACCTCCTGCTGCAGAGATGATGGCTTTTGCTTAGCAGACCTTGCAGAAACACCTCGTGGGACAACATCCAGCAGTGCACAACTTGATGGCATGGCCAAGTCACAGGCCCTGGTCCCACACACTGCAAGTCCAAAACCACGTGCTCACCCTTCTCCATTGAGTTTTGAAGTCCACTTCAAAATTGTTTCTGACTTTAATACAAAAGCAATCGTGCTTCTTGAGACAGACACACAACCAGCAAGAGAGATGCCAAAGGCTGAGGTCCAAAACCATTTATTTTAAAGATAAAGTATTGAAAGTTAACACAAAACCAAAGCTGGACGTGTAAGAGGAGGGATGATGCTTTGTCAGGTTTCTTAAAGGGTCGTCATATTTCTGATCTTACAAATGTTTGTCCCATTCCACAGATGCTACTTCAGTGCTTTGGGAAACAAAGAGATTTTTTTTCTCTCCCCTGGAGTGGCATAAAAATATACCTGTCAACTCATGCTCTATACATATGTATAGGCTGCATTTCTACTCGGTGGGAAAATATCACCATACCATACGTAAAATTAAGAATCATTACACTATTTTATTTATCTTACTGAAAACTTTTTTATTTTTTTTATTTTTTTGTACACTAAATCTGAAGTCTCCTTAGATTAGACAGCTCCACTATTTACCTGTGATCTTTTTAGGCACAGATACAAGGTATGGCTTATCTGCCATCCTGCTCCCAATACTTGAGAAAGAGCAGGCAGAGAGGGTCAGACCCAGCCAGCCTGATGCTGTCAGGGAGAACTGAACCATGGTAGCCAAGCGAAAGCCACAGAAGCAGCCTGGATTTCCAGAAGCCCAGCAATCTGCACCAGAAATGCACTTGGTTCATGGCTGAACTGCAAAGGCTGGTGTAGAGGAGAGCACACACTCCCTGAGGATTTGTCACATGAACATCACATCTTCCAACTCAGCCACCTGGTTGCTGTTGGAGATCAAATTTTTCTCTTTCTAGAGCAACAGCTAGTCTCTGAATGCCACTTAAAGCCAGAACATTTCAAATTTGACTCTCATTAAGGTACACAGACAATACGAGCAGAGTTCCCAGTGGGGAAATAGGAGCAATGAAGCTGGGATGGGAGACAGCAAGGGAGCAGGGTGCTCCAAAATTGGAAGTGCTCCAAATGACCAAAATGACACAGCTCGCAGATGATGCAAGATAAGGACAGTGCTACACCGGCCAGCTGACCTTCCTCACCATGTCCTGGAGAAAACTGCCATGCCATGGCTGTCACTTCCCTGCCCAAACCAGGGACACCTCCAGGTATGTGCACGTGCAGCCTCTGCAAAGGCAGATTGGTGTAAAATTGATAAAACACAAAAACCAACCAAGCCAAATCACCAAAAGCGAAGACAGGACACACGTGGCAGGGGGAAGGTCTGTTGTCTGCAGCTGGAGGGCAGCCCCTTCTCCAGTGAATAGTCCCACTTTGCCCAGTCTGATCTTGTTCTCCTAGAGATAGAAGTCACCACTGAAAGCGTGGGGGTGATCCGGCAGCACTTCTGCATGGGGATGCAGCTTGCAGGGGGGAGCAGGGCTGCCCTTTGGCACATCTGTAGGGAGTCCGGTGTGAGAGCCAGGCAAAACACAGCTGCTGTCAGGCTAGGAGAAGAGAGAGGAAAGAGAGTGGTGAGGTATTTTGTAGGGTTTTAATGACACTGATGGGCTGGGTGCCCAGAGGAAGCTGCTGGGAGGGAAAGTTCCTGCATTGCTTCCCCTGGAGGTGCAGGGGCTCAGCAGCAATCCCAGTACATGTTGCACACCTTTCCCCAGCTCACCTCTCATTGGCCCTCCAATTCATTGACAGGAGGTTGAAAGCAGTGCACCTACATCCACACTCCCCAATGAACACCAATTTTCACCCACTGACTTCATAATCAGCCTTTGCAGAGTTGACCATGTATTGCAGCCCTACTCATTAACCATATCTGTAAATTACAGGCTCCTGCTCTGCATTTGATACAGGGCATGGTCATGGCAGCAAAACTGATAGAGTTTGAGAAGCATTTAGACAACACTCTCTGTACTTGTAAAACAGGACAGCAGATCTTCATCTCATATGGGCCACCCATCAAAGCTTAACATCGCATGGCTGGAATATGCCTATAGAAAGGACAACTAAACAAAGCACATGGAAACCATACCCACAGACAGCCAAGGTCTAAAGGGAAAAATCCACATTCTGACCTTCCATTCTGCAATGCTTGGTGCAAAGAAAAGCCCCTGAAGTCCTTCTTTCTGACCACACACTGGCAGAGCAAGGTGAATCCTGCCTACTGAACAGGTAGGGCATACCTTCCCTGTGCTAAGGCCCCCCCAGGAAATCCCAGCACAGAAAATACCGAGCTCAAGAGCAAAGAGAAACCTTCACCTTGTGGCTGCTCTCCTGGCTCAGTATGGAGGTGTACAATCCATAGGAGTTTGCTGGAGCCTCCAGCACACTGCCAGTGCTTCCAAAGTGCTCTGCAGATGAGCTCAGGAAAGGGTACATGGAGGGAATAGAGCTTGGATGCATCTCAGGAATGAGCTGGTATGAGGAAGATGGGAAAAGCCCAGAGCATGGAACCGTCTCCTCCTGGGACCTCTCACTGTCTGCAGCGTCCGTGCTGCATAATCCATTCAGATTAGAGCCTGGTGCTGGCATGGCAGGCCCAGGCACTGCACCCAAGTAGTCCTGATGCTGGGAGGTCAAGTCTTGGCTGGTGCCATAGAAATCGGGCTGAGCTGAGGACGTCAGGAGAGGGGAGACGTAGTCCTGCCAGGGGCTGCTGCTGCTGCTGGGGAGGAAGCGTGGAGCAGAGGGATGATGGTGGGCACACAGCCTGTTCATCAGCAAGCGCCGGCCAGCTTTGTGTTTTGGCTGGCTTGGTGCTGCCCCACGCCCTCGGCCCGGGCTGGGCAGGGAAAAGGTCTGGAGAACGTCCTCTTGGGTGGGATGCACAGCTGGGAAGTCACTCTCCAGCTGCTGGGCCTCCAGCGGGGCTCCCAGGTGTGAGCTGGGAGCTACGGTCCACGGAGTGACCTGAGAGAGCTGGAGGAAGCGGAGCAGGCCCTCCTCCCCAGCTGCTCTGCTCTGCAGGCCTGCAGGCAGCTCGGCCTCCATCGGCTTCGATGGCAGTGGGGGCTGCTGTGCCGGCGCATCATAGAGAGGGTGCTCCCACAGCAGAGCAGCAGCTTGGCCTGGGACAGTGCCAGGCTGCTGTGTTTGCTGGGATGGGTGCTGCAAGTCCTTGTCCTCTGCGTGGGCCTGGTATGCAGCAGAGCATCCCGCTGAGCTCGAGGTCGTGCCTGGCAGGGGACAAGCCTGCAGGTCTTCCTTGTACTTGTTCCCCAGCGTGGTGTGGATGTAGGAGAGGATCTCATTGTTGGTGAGGAAGTCGCTCAGGGACAGAGTGTGATCAGGGTCTGTGTTGACCATCACCATTTTCTCATCCAGAAGCAGGAGCTCCAGGTCTTCAGCGTTCAGCCCCAGGCTCTCCAGTGCACTGAAGAGCTCGTTGTTGGAGCAGCTCTCGTCACTGTTAATTGTTAGTGAGTTCAAGGTGGCCAAGAGAGGGTCCTCCTGCTGCAAATCCACCCTCTCCTCTTTGAGGCTGTTCTTCCTTGAGGAAACTGGAGCAGTGCTTGTGCTCCAGGCCTGTCCTGCACCCAGTGACGACGTGTCCTCAAGGTGGGCCAAGAAACTGCTGCTGAAGGTGTGGTTGGGTGAAGGAGCTGGCTGGGGGGCATATGCTGCCTTGTCCTGCTGCAGTACAGCACTCAGCAGAGAACCAGGGGCAATGCTGTCCTTCTGGGAGCATCCTCCATTGCTGTGTGAGGTCTTCTTGGACTTGCTGATTTTCCCTTTGCTCTGGAAAGCATCACAGAAGCCTGGGAGAGGGAAAGCACTTTGGTATAAGAGTGCTTCTCCTGTAGCAAAGGTGAAGGGAAGATGCATGGATCGTTTCCGAAGGTGCTCTCCTCCTTCTTCATCTCTGCAGGGGAGGAAGAGGAGACTGTTGTTTGTATGTGTGCAAGCACCTGCTGTAAACTGCTTCTGCAATGCAGAATTGCAATTTGTGTCATCCCAGGCCCCCTTGCTACAACCAGCCCACGTGCACCGATTCGTGCATACACAGGAGTGCTTATGTACAAAGAAATGCACTCACACAAGGGGTCTCTGCGTGACGATGATGTACTCAGGCTTGCTGTTCTTGTAGACAAGCCGTGCGTTGGCCTGCACCCACTTCCAGTGCTTGTCCTTTGTCAGCAGGCGGAAGACCGTCAGGCCGCTCTCCCCTGTCTTCATCACTGCCGGGAGGAAGCACAGATGCTGGTGCCCATCATCACATCACCTGGGGCAGGGCTGCCTCAAGCAATGCTGCTGTTGCCAGCAGGGATAAGCAGGTAGAGTCACAGCAGAAGGATGCCCTGGCTGGCTGCACGTGCAGGGAACACACCTCCCTGGCTAGATGCACCTCCCTACTCACTACAAAGAGCATCGCAGCAAGGCATAAAGCAAAGCGTCTTATGGACAAAGAGCTGCCCGGCTCAACACAGCTACCAAGGGAGCTTTGGCCTCAGATGTGAGCATAAAGGGAACAGGGAAAAGGACTCTTACTTCTGATGTGGTTCTCAGCACAGTAGAGCATGTCAGCAGCATGGATGAACTGGTAGCCGGTGCCACACATCCGCAGCTCTGCCTCGGTGTAGCCCAAAACAATCTTCCCCCTACAGGAGAATGCAAGTTGATGCAAAGAACCCAGCTCAGTGGCAGGTGCAGGTGGGACATCACCCAGGCTCAGCACGAACCAGCACAGTGGAGGCATACAGCATCACCCCACAGATCAGCTCTGCTACCTACTTGGCATCACATGCCAAAGGAGTGAAGTCCAGCTTGTGCTTCGTCCTGAAGATCATGTTCTTGGTTCTGATCTCCAGGATGGATGGGGGCTGCAGGGGGGTGGAGATAGCAAAAAGAGCAAGCTGCGGGGGCAGCGCAGACCCATCTTCAGACCTTTTGTTCTGCCCATGAAGGAATCTCAGCCTGCCTTGAAGGTTTAAAGCCTAGAAAGAGAAGATAAGGCCAGTGTCACACACTGTCTGACACAGCCCAGGCCAGGGTAACACCACAGGTCCAGGATCATTGCTCCTTGTGGCCTCCTTGTTCCCTGGTGGGTGCAGAGGGAAGTTTAAAAGAATGCTATGCTGGTCTCCCCACAGCAGCAGCTCATCACTGATAACCCAGAGCCATGCTGTACAGCAGCTGCAAGACCAAGCATGTGCTGCAGTTGCATCAGTGCATCACATCATGCATAGGCTCTTTGTTCTACGTGAGCTACACCTCAACCACACCCAGAATCATTGCTTATTAGAGATGGACAATCAGAACATCTATTCAAGGTTCAGTGCCACTGAGAGGACAGGAATAAAATCCACAGGAAGAGGTGCAGACCAAACTCAAACACACACACACACACACACACACACAAAAAAAAAAAAAGAAAGAAAAATCCACTTCTTGAGGCAGGCAGAAAAGAGTTTCAACCTTTTCAATGTTAACTTTCACGCTCCATCAGCGGCATGGGCCCCTTAGCATGAGCCTGATACAGAGCCTGCAGCACAGACCTGCACTCACCAGGAACCCAGAGGAATTATCCAGGAGGCAGCGAAACCTGCACACAAAGCTCCTTTCCAGAAAGGAAGAGTTTTCCAAAGGCAGTTGGTCAGGCTTGTAAGCAACAGCAGGAAAGCTGAGACTCTTCCTCCCTATAGGAGAGAGGGGTTGAGGGAGCAGCTAAAGGCTGGTGGTCCCAGTCCTCAGCAAAGGGTGGTGGTCCCCAGCAAGGGCAGCATCATGGACCACAGCTTCTGTGGAACATATCAGCAGAAGCTACGCTTTGTGTGGCCACAAGGATGCAAACTCCACGCAGCTGGAACGGAGCATCTCGTGCCTACACGTACCTTCAGGAGAGGGCTCACCCTCAGGAGTTTGGGGTGGGCTGAGAGCCCAGTGGAGGTTGCGCCTGAATTCCTGGTGGTCCTCAGTGTGGATCAGCTTGAAGATGCTCTGGTGCATAACATCTGTCTAGAGAAAAAAACAAACTGAGTGAGCTACGTGGCCTGCCCCAGCCCCTGCTGTTGGCCATATCCCACCACATCTCCCCTGTGCTCAGCTAGGCCTTTAGCTGAATGGGGTTGAACACTCCCCACCAGAGCTGATGTTGGACTGGGTTGGGGCACAAAAAGCACAGCACTTTTTAGACACTTCACTCCCTCTGCTTTGAGCTCGGTACAGCAGGAGCACATCTCAAATTCCCAAGCCACTGAACCCATAGGGAGGGTAAAAGGCTTCCCCTATTGTAGGTCTCACTCCTGCTCCCTCTGGGATGATTTTTGAGCCTGCAGAAAGAAGAGATGTGGTCGTGGTAGCAGGGCCAGGCCACCCAGCAGCCACAGACTTCTCCTTGCCTTCTTCCCTCTATGTGAAGCCCCCACGTGGCCCTGCAAACCCACCGGTCTCTCTCCCTGCAGGGAACCTCAGGGCTACTCTCCACCGCCAAGGAAAAACCCACCCTGCAAACCCATCACTGCAATTCAGGGGTATTCCACGAACCTGATGAAATCCCAGGTAGTCCTGGATGGTGTGTGAGGAGTAGAAGATCAGCCCTTCTGATGTCACCACCAGCACGAAGCCATTGAGTGCCTAGGAGAGAGAGCAGGTCAGCAGCTGAGTTCTACCCACATCATGTGTCCCAGCAGCTCAGATTCAGATCTAGACATTTATCCACATCCTATGCCAAGAGCAAGTACAAATCTCAGAACGACTTGCAGAATGAAACCAGATACATTAAGGAACCCCCATCCATTCTGGAATCCTGGTGGAAAAGGATTTGATTCCCTGACAGCAGGGAACCAAAGTGTCATTTCACATTGATTGCATTAAATTTGACCTGTGGCTCTGCCTGCATAGTTCCCATTCTTCCTACAGACCAGGGAGGATCCTGGCAGCTGGGGGAATGCAGACAGAGGATGTGCAGTGAGGAACAAACACGCTGCGTATCCCAGTGTGCTGGCAGTGTCTGCTGCTTTCACATCCCTCCCACGTTCCCCAGGTGCCAAGGACCATGCTATGCCCACACGGGCTCTGCCTACTCTGCCTACCTGGAATCACCCCTTGGCTGTACTGCATGACAGCAGCAGGACCAAACGTTGGCGTTGTTAATGCCAAAGTTCATTTGTATTTTTAAATATTTATTTATTTATGCATACTTCACAGTTCAGTGGCCCTTCTGTCCTCTCCTGGAGCTGCAGGACTGCAAAACCAACATGCAAGGGAACACTGCATTCCCAGGCCGAGCTGCTCAGAGCCTCTGTCCTCCCCAGGAAGGGCTCATTCCTACCAGCTTAACACATTTGGGTGGTAATTTGGGTGTTCTCTCTGAGACAGCAGCCTCGGGGCTGGCAGGAGGAGGGATCAGGGCCAGTGTTCCTTGCCCCTGGAGATCTGTGAGGATCACAAGGTGCAGAGAAGCTGCCTCACAATTTTTTTGACCGTGCAGTTGCTATCCCGGATGGCTTTAGCATCCAGAAGTCAGAGTGCTCTCACAGAGCTGATACCATCACCCAGCCACCTGTCCCTAAGGACACCAGGACCTCCTGGATCCCAAAACCTGGCTGCAGGCAGGGCAGCCAGCCCCGTCCCACTTCCCCCACTTGGCCATCCACAGACATCAGGATCAATTAGAGTCTAGCGCGTTGTCTCAGCCAAGTCTGGCTATTGTTGCTGCCAATTCCCATTTCATTGTCCAGGTCCGTGTTTCTCCCCCCTCTCCTTCCCTTTATCCCAGGCACAAATGCTCTCTCTATTTACTGGGTTGACCTCAGTGTGTGGGAATCTGCTGCAGAGGTTAATTAGTGCTGCCAAACGCTTTTTAACCCTTTGAGCAGCCCCGGAGGCATGGCCTCCTCATGGTGCTGGTGAGCAAGGTCTGGCAGCACCCTGTCATTCCTCAGTGGTGCTGGAGAAAGGCAGATTGGAGGCAGTATGAACCTACATGGCTGCACACCCAAGGATGCTGCACCCAGTTCCCAGTCCTAGAGCCCAGCTACATCCCTCATCCCTGGATGAGGCTAACATGGAGCTGTTCACACCTGCTTGGTGCCTCTACAAAGACAGCATCTGACCTGAGGAGGAGCCTGATGAGCAGAGCATCAACCCTGCTGAGCGCAGCTCTGTGCTTTGACAGTGGAAAACCCTCGAGGTTTAACCAGCTTGGCTTTAGCATTTCTCTCCCCAGACACCAAGATCCTGGCTCCGCAGCAATCAGGCAGGACAGTAATTATAATTACTGCTGAGTGAGCTTCTGGATAGGAGCCAGATGACTGCCAGGCTGGGAACCAGGTGGAGAGGAACAGGGGGACTGTGTCCTCGTGGGACCTCGTGGCACTGGAGCGTGACCCCTTCCTATTCACAGTGCCTGACTTGGGGACAGGGGGTCAGTCACCTCCCAGTGCCTCCAAGCAGAAGCCTCTCAAATAGCTCCTGGGATGCTACGATGTACCCCACGTATAAAGGCATGTGCATCCCCTCATCTGAGCATAAGGGCCATCCACAACTTTCTCCGTGAAGGACAGGAAAAAAAAAAAGGAGAAGCAACACTCCTTTTCTGCCCCAGGGATCCAAAGAGTTGTAAAACCTCTGCTCAAACACCACCACTGTGAGTGAAATTACTCCAGTAAGTCTTATAACCACTGTACTGACCAGCAGCTACACCAGTGGGACAGCAGACAGCGTCCTCCCTCCATCACAACATTCACCAAAATGTCCAGCAACTGAGAACAGAACAGCCTGTTCTTTGGGCAAATCTCAAAGGAAAGAGGACCCAAGGAAAAAGTTCTTGAAGGCATTTGCCAGGGAGAGGTGGCCAGAAAGAACCACTGACCTGCAGGAGCAGCTCGCCCTCTGGTACCGCTGCAGTGCCCAGAGCTGGGCTGCTCTCATGGTCTCCATCCCTCTCTGCTCCTTCAGCACCGTGGTTCTTCAGAGCAACTGCAGCAAAGCACAGTGAAGGGACATCAGTGATGCAGCAACACATCCAAGTCACCACCAGGAGCAGCCAGAACAAAGACATTTCCCCTGCCTTTCCGTAACTCCAGAATTCCTCTTTTATCCTCTTTTTCCCCTTTTCATTTCCATATCTTTAACAAACCCAAAGCAAAGAGCAGTTAAAGCCAGAGATCATCAAACAAGTAGGCATCACTGCTAGAACAGCTGCCCAGAGAGGCTGTGGATGCTCCATCCATAGAGGTGTTCAAGGCCAGGTTGGATGGGGCCCTGGGCAGCCTGGTCTGGTGTTAAATGTGGAGGCTGGTGGCCCTGCATGTAGCAGAGGGTTGGAGATTCATCATCCTTGAGGTCCCCTCCAACCCGGGCCATTCTGTGATTCTGTGATCATGGAATAACTATGAGATCCCGCACTCCATCCTGCAAAAAAAATCCACATGTTTAGTGAACTCATCAGTTAGGAGTTCCCTCAGCATTTAGTAATGGTCACGGAGGTCCTTTGTCCCAGTGGGTTCAATGCTTCTGTCCACTCCTTGCAAGGAGTCCTTGGCACCATGCTATGCCAGCTCTCCTTGGCAGCCTGAACAAGCTGGGCATTGCAGGCACAGTAGAAACTCCCAGCAAGGAGAATGGATCGACTCTTCTCATCTCTGTGAGTAAAATGCAGGGGCTATAAATTATTGAAGGTCTTCTGTCCTCCTCTGGCAGCTTCCAGATGGCTATGCTGGAGGTGCAAGACAAATATAAACCTGGTGGATAAAAGAGCGAGTCAAGGGTTGCTGAGGTCTGGTTTAATGGTTTCATATTTGCCAGCAGAAAGAAAACTTGCATGTAATGGTCTTGAATCACAAACACTGCCTAAATATAGACTTCACTACTGGCATCTGTCTTGCTCCTAAGCTATGGGGCCAAATTAAAATCAGTTAAAATCAGAAGATGGTACATCGTCCTCTGTACCAACACCTGCCACTGAACCCAGCCACCATCCTGCATTCCCCATCAGGGTTTTCCTGACCTTCCAGACCATCCCCAGAGCCCCAGAGATGTTCTGCTCTTGGCCAGGACACTGCACATCAGCCTCCCGAGCAGGGTGAGAACAGATTGCCACCTGAAAGCAGTGGTCCTTGGGCACAGGAGGGAGGGCTGGGGGTCCTCCTGCATGCTCAGCCTGGGGAAATGACTCATGGGAGGCTGTAGGGACACCTCACTGGTGAACTCCTGAACCTGCAGGGGCTTTGCAGACCTGAGAAATCTCTGCACCAGCAAGCTGGTATTAACATTTTTGAGAGGATATATCCCAGCCCCCTTCCCTTTCTTCCATGCAGGCAAAACCTTCGAGTGGGAACAAGTCACAGTTTAAAAACAAGAAGACTCAGTCCCAAACCCAGCCCTGGGGTCGATACAGGAGAAGCAGAAGAGAACTCAACCACCTCATGGCTCTTCAAGAGCAGCAACAGTTCATGCCCACCCTCCCGGCTGGCATCACTTAAACAAGGCAAAAAGCCACGCTTATTCTTAATGGATAGAACAGTTTTACTTATAATACCCACCACAGATCCCCACTGGCACAAATTTCATTAAATAGATTAATTATTTATTCCTTGTCTGAACGGTGCAGAGACAGCAAGTTCTGTGACCAGGCGTGGTGAATAATGAATGTCCTGCTAAAAGATCTAATTGCACATCTAAAAGCAAGGAGGCCTCATCTACACATCCCTGTTGCACCACTGAAGGCACACGGGTCTCAAAGGAAGAGCACGTGCACAGGTTTAAACAAGGACAAAGAGGACAGTGATGTGTCAGGCTGTCACTTCTTTTTGCAGCTCTTCTAATCCTTGTAATGCTGATAAATCACAGTCCTTCAAGTAATTTTAATGACAATCCTTGGCACACACACAGTGGCAGGACAAGGGGCAATGGCTTTAAAGTGAAAGAGGGCAGGTTTGGAGTAGATATATAAGAAATTCTTTACTCAGAGTGCTGGCACAGGCTGCCCAGAGGAGCTGTGGATGTCCTATCCATGGCAGTGCTCAAGGCCAGGCTGGGTAGGCTTTGGGGTCCTTTCTGTCCCACCCCATTGTATGGGAGGGCTTTCGGTTCCTTCTGACCCATCCCATTGTACGGTTGGGCTTTGGGGTCCCTTCTGACTCACCCCATAGGTTCTCTAAGCTCCAGGAAACAATGAAGCATCATTTCAGGCTTGGTAACGTGGCCCACAGCTGAAGTGCTGGAAGACTGTTCATGCTGGTTGATCCTAAGCATTACAACAAAGAGGGTAAAGACTCCCTTCATCCTGATTGTGACACGCAGAGGGAAAGCTGTGCTTCCTGCTACTTCCAAGGGCAGCTTTGCAGACCCTCCCAGTGCCCCCTCCAGGACAAACCTCTTGTCCCAGGGGTTGATGTGGGCCACCTGCCTGCACCCAGGGCTTGGCTCCTTGGGAGCTGGGCCCATGGGGAGGGATTAGGGGAGCCAGGCACCGCCAGGCTAAGCTGACACATCATGTGCTGGCCCTCGGGTGTCCTTGAGGTGAAGCTGGGGTCTGGCATGTGATGGAAGCAGCCAACTGCAGCTCCATCCCACCCTCCTGGGCCTGGCCAGCGATGCTGGGTTTAGTGCAGTACTGCCTGGATGGGATGTGGGATGAAGCAGGAATGGGCTGGATGGCTTTTCCCAAGGGTCTGCATCTCTGGAAACACCATGCGAGTTCACAAAGCCCCAGGTGTGATTCCTGGCAACAGGATGTGGATCTGAAGGGATGAGCGCAGCGTGTTGTATAGATCAAGATACTCAAATAAAATTAAAAGTAATTGATTTTCAAATAGGCTGGGAGAAACAACAGCCTGGAGATGACAGCGTTCCTGGCTTGCAGTGAATTATTTAAGAAGGGGGCTGGAGAAATGGCAGCTGGCAGAAACCTGCTGGTTCACTGATTGATCCACCTGTGGGACAGGCTGCCTGCTATCAGTAAACCAGCAGAAAACTAAACAGTAGAAGTCGAGGAGGGAATAGGCTGTGTATTTTGAAGAGGGGCACTGCAGGCTGCTCTAAGGTGAGCTTCATCTCACATGGCTTCTTACAGTGGCATCTCTCTGCATTCACATCAAAAGGGACTGAAGACGCTCTGAAATCACCCAATTTTGTAGGTTGGTTTGCTCAGAGCTCCTGTTAGATAAACTGCTTAAATCAGGAGTTTTATTTATTTATTTTTTAAGCAGCAGAAGAGCTTCAGCTGGATCCACAGGCACTATTTGCATCGAAAAGGATGGAGGTTTCCCCTCTCACATCTGAAATGCTGTGACCTAGCTTAAAGCAGGGCAGCCAGTCCCATAGCTGCAGGCACCCTCGTGGCTCAGCTGCTGGGAAGATGAAATCAAACCGTATGGAATGACAAAGGCAAACAAAGAAAGAGAGAAGCTCAAAGCAGGGGATTTCCCAGTTTCTCACTATGCTCACCAAAGTTACCAATGCTGCAGGGATGTCGGACTGCAGGCAGAGCACTGGGATGCTGCTCAGGGCAGGAGCATCACGGCCCCAGGGTCAGCCCTGCTTCCCTTCTCCAGCACAGCACCGCAGCATCCCAGCCCCATCACACCACACAGGAGGAGAACCCCACACACCCCAACCTCTGCCACCGTGCTTCACAACAAGAGCGGCCATTTCAGAACTGTTCTAAGGAAGCACCAACCACCCTTTCGGTCTATAAATCCTACAAGCCTTTAAATGATTCATGTTTCACTGCGAGCCTGCACTGCACCACACACCACTACCCCTGCGAGAGCAGCGGTGCTCCCACAGCCCCCAGCATCACCACGATGGGTCTGAGGCTCCACACTGTGGAAGTGGATGTGGGCAGTATGGAGCAGTATGGGCTGTCCTAGCATGGCTCCTTAGCGGGGCAAAGCAGAAGGGAGGCTGTGGGCGATACGGTCAAACAAACAAATCGACCCGGAGCTGCCAAGCAAACAACTGCTCTCTCAGGCCATTAATTTTTCATTCCATCCGCCTGCCAGTTCCACCGTGCTCAAAAGAGAATGGGAAAAAAAGAAAAAAAGAAAAAAAAAAAAAAAAAAAGACTTTCCATTCATTCAGAGATTTGGAGTTGGAAAAAAATTGCTTGTGAGGTCACAGATAGCTGCTGCTGTTTGGCCAGGATAATGCAGGGCTGCCCGAACACTCCTCCTACGGGCTATTAACTACAGCAGAGGAACGCAAAAAGGTATTTAATGTGGTGTGTTCTAAAAGGCTCCCAAATAAACTCTAACCACGCTGCGGTAATTATTCATTGTCAAACACCGAGGCTTTCTCAGGTCCGTCATAACGGGAAAAGCCGCTCTCACAGTGCCGCCTCTCAGCCGTGCCCTCCAGCCCAAGCGTCAGTTTTCTACTTCAGCGCAACCCACAAACAGAATCAACTTCATCACCGCACATCGCTCTGATTCCTCCGCGTCCGAAGCCCGCTTCGCCCCGAGCCGCTGCGGGCACTCACCGCGGAAGAAGCTCTTAGCGCGGAGGAAAGCGGCGCTGAGCCGCAGGATGGACAGCTTGTCCAGACCGGCCGCCACCTCCTCGGGAAAGGGCAGCAGCGAGGCCAGCCGCTCCAGCTCTCGGTTCAGCCGCTCCCGGTGCCGCTTGGAAGGGTTGGAGCGTCCGCTGTCCGCAGCGTGCAGCCTGCGGGGCGCAGCCACCGCCACGCGTTACGGTGGAGCCGGCACGGAACCGGCACCATCCATCCCTCGTCCCGAAACCAGCCCCGCTCCCATCCCTGATCCCGCTCCTGGCCCCGCTCCCATCCCTGATCCCCCTCCCAGTCCCGATCCTGTCTCTCACCCTGACCCCGCTCCCGTCCCAGCCCCGCTCCCATCCCCGATGCCGCTCCCAGTCCCGTTTCCATCGCTGACCCCGCTCCGCACTCACGCTCGGGCCGCCGGCTTCCTCCGCTTGCGCCCCGCATACATGGCTCAGCGAGAGCCAGCGGCAGCCGCAGGAGAGGAGCGGGGCAGCGCGGAGCAGCCCGGAGAGACCCCCGCAGGAGCGGCTCCGCCTCCGGCCGGGAGGGAAAGAGGGAGGGAGGGACGCGGGGACGCTGCGGGTGGGGAGGAGATGGGCTCCGGGGTCGGGCGGTAGCGTGGGTACGGTGTGTGTGCGTGGAATGAAGTTGGGAGCTGGGCTCGGTCAGCCTGGGGAAGGCTGCGGGCAGAGCTTGCCGTGGCTCTTCTGCACCTGCAGGAGCTACGGGAAAGATGGGTTCAGATTGGATAGAAGGAAGAAATTCTTTAGTACGAGGTAGGTGAGGACGTGGCAGAGGCTGCCCTGATAAGCTGTGGATGCCCCTTCCCTGGCAGTGCTCAAGGCCAGGCTGGATGGGGCTTCGGGCTGTCTGTTGGGCTGGGTGAATTTCAGGGTCCCTGCCAACCCAAACTAGTCTGTAGTTCTGTATGGAAAATGCAGGGGATGGGCTAGGACCCTCCTCCTCCAGCCTCAGCCCAGAGAAACACTGAGCAGCTTCCACATGTACTTTCTCAGCTGAGAGGTAAATGGACAGATGCTGTTCAAGGTCACAGAATCACAGAATAGCCTGGGTTGGAAGGGACCCCCTGGGTTGGAGCAACACCCCCGCCACAGGCAGGGCCACCAACCTCCCCATTTAATACTAGACCAGGTTGCCCAGAGTCCGATCAAACAAACAATCACACCACTTTTTAATACAAACCACCTTTTAATACACAACAAAGTGCAGCGAGTGAGTTGCAGCCCATCTTTTCTTCTGCCCTGACACTGGCGAACGACATACAAAGAAATCACAAAGTGGAAAACAAGACACTGCCACGAAAACAATCCACGGATGCACATACGTAACACACACAGTTGAGATGTAAGCAACATCTCAAGAGAGCAGCAGGGGTCTGCTGCAGCCCCCAGTGGCAGAGCACTGCAAGGTTTGGGGCTGGTCAATGTATAAGGCTCTCATCAGGTGCTTCTCCAGGCTGCTGCAGAAGGGTCCGGCATCATTCTGCTGCCTGCGCCCCACAGCTCAGCCCCATCCCACCCAGTGCTGATGACTTGCCCAGGCCACAGGGCATCCTGGATCTGCTGGGGTGTGGATAGATGCGGGGCTCTTGGAGCTCTGTCTCAGAAATAAATGGCAGATGGCAGGCACTACTTCCCTTGATGCCTTTCTCATTGCTTTGGCAAAAACACACCATCCTCCATCTGATGGCGTGGGTAAAGGTAGGGACAAAACCAGGTCAAGGAGCTGTCTCTGTGGTTTGAAGCATCTCTTTCCTACCCAGGGCTCAGTCACTGTGCACACACAGCTGCAGCTACCTTACCCCACTGTCTCTCCAAAGATGCCACCCACTGGCCCACAGGTCCTGCAGTCCCCACCACACACCTTCACTGGACATTGCATGCACAGAGGGGCTGCCTGCCTGCCAAGGAAGATAGTGGAAAGACAGCACCCGGCTCACAGGAGGATGTCCTTGCTCCCACCTCTGCAAAGGGAGATGCTGAGCAACTCGAACTCAATCCTGTCAGTGTTCCAGGGTGGTTTGTGCAAGGTAAAGCACTTGTAGGTATTTTAATGGCATCCCCAAGAAAGGAGTTCCCATGCCTGAAGACATCCTGGCTCGTTCTGTACAGTCACAGGGATGCAGCATGATGTTGTCTGTCTGATGCGTACCAGGGCCCACATTGACCCCTAGCACAAGTCCCTGAGGTTGGGGCCACGCATCCTTGCTGAGCAGCATCTGCTCCCCATTGCAATGGGGCTCTCTGGGGAAGCTCCCCCAGCTCTGGGAGCTGCTGGTCAGTGCGGTTTGTGATTCCAAGGATGTTCCTGTTGCTCCCAGCTGTTTTGGAGCTGCCATCCAAGCATCCAGTGGGCAATCTCCCGGGGAAGTGCTCTGACCCAAAGTGCTGCCCAGGTTTGCCCATACTGGGACATCATGAGACACTAGAATGCTAGAGTCCAAGGGAGATGGGCAGCTCAAGCCCATCAGAGTGCACTCAGACTGGCTCTGGCAATCAGGAATGATGGTGTCTATGGGAATAGAGGTGGGAAGTCCTGCTTGAAACTCCAGTCCTGAGTTGGCCAACTGATCTGCAGCACAGGGCTTGCTGCTGGAGCCCAAGGCATCCAGAAGCATCCCCTCCTCCAGACTGGCTGGGTTAATCAGGATCTGCTGTTCTGCTGGAGCAGAGCTGCCCTCTGATATAATAGAGTCCAGAGAGAGCACAACATCCTGGCCTTGTGTACCAGCTGCCTGGGGCTGCTGTGGGGCTTGAAATGCCTGTGGAGCTTCTGGATTAAATCCTGAGTGCTGGAATTGAGCCACATAACAGCCTTCCTCACTGCAATGCAAGGACTCTGTGCTCTTTCCATCATGCTCCCTGAACAGCATCTGCTCCATGCAAGAGGGCAACTCACTGCTCAGCCTCTCACCAAAATCCTCAGATGGCAGGTCCTCCATGAACAAGCTAAGCAGAGCATCCTCCCACTGCTGTAGCTCTGTACTGTCCATGCTGAGGCTCTGGGATATGTTTCCATCCACCTCACTCCTCTCAATGAGGGTTTCAATAGCCACCAGGAGGGAGCTGCTGTCATGACCAGCTTTTCCATCTTGGCTTGGTCCATCAGGCTCAGCATTGAGATCTGGCAAGGTGAACTGAGGGACATCAGTGTGGGAGAGATAGATGGATGCATCCTGCTCCATTGTGGCCCCCAGAATAGAGTTGGGATCTATAGCATGCTGCTTTGTATGGGAGTCTGTCTTTGTCTGAAATTCCTCCTTAGCCTGAAAGGAGCCTAGGAAATTGGAGTTTTTCCCATATATGATTGCTTCCCCCGTGGCAGTGCTGAAAGGCAGCTGAAGGTTTCGCTTTCGCAAATGTTCCTCCCCTTCTTCATTTCTTCAGAGTGGAAGAAAAAGAGAGGGAAACATGATGAGTATATTCTCCAGGCCAGGCAGGACCAGCCTCCAAGCAGCAAGATGGGAGCTCAGAGACTTGCCCAAGACCTTGGGTGAGGGGACGCAGCTGGAAACCCAGCCATACTCACGACAGGACTCGCTGCTGGGTGATGATGCAGTCAGGCTCACCCCCTTTATACACCAGCCAGGCATTGGCCTGCAACCACACCCAGGTGCCCCTCTTGGTCAGCACTCGGAAGACTGTCATCTCACTCTTCCCTGTCTTTATCACTGGGGCAGGGAGAAAAGAGAGGTGGCACAGAGACTCAGCTGAGCACCACAGGGGCGTGGGCAAGTTGTGCCCAGGCCACAGAAGCAAAAACTGCAGCCAGCACACAGTGCTGCATGTCAGGGTGTCCGTGCACAGGATGGCACTTTACCAGCTTCCTGTGCAGGTGTTAAGCAGGAAAACTTCATCACAGCTCCTGCAGACCTCAGAAAGACAGGGGAGCACGGCCAGGACTGCACTGCTGCCACCCCACAGACTTGCCACAGCCCCAGTGTCCCTCCCTCAGCACTCACCTCTCACATGGCTCTCTGCACAGTATATCATGTCGGCTGCGTGCACAAACTGGTACCCGGACCCTCTACTGCACAGCTCCTCCTCTGTGTAGCCCAGGATGACCTCCCCCCTGAGGGCAGAGCACAAGGCATGGGCACTCTGTGGCACTCTGGCTTTCTGTTCTGCACTTGTGGCCACGGGTTTTGCCATGATGAAAGCGGGAGATGCCATACCAGGAATCACAGGCAATGGGAGTAAAGTCCAGCTTGTGCTTTGACTGGAAGAACAGCATCTTGGTCTGAAGCTCCAGGATGGAGACAGGCTGAAGGGGAGTCACGATGGCAAAGAGAGCGAGTGGAAGAAGCCCCAGGGACGTGTCTGATGCCCTCTTCTGCTGCCCAAGAAGAAGTTTCAAGCGTCCTTGGAAATTCAAGGTCTTGCAAGGGATGAGAAAACAAGGCAGGCAAGGTGAGGAAATAGGAGCTGGAAAACAGACTGCCCCAGCTCACATCTGCATGGGACATGAATGAACACAGGCACACAGCAATGTATCCAGGGGTGATGCTTAGTGCTTAGAGGTGTCCTGGCATTACCAGAAATCCCAGGGAGTTATCCAACAGGCAGCGCAGGCGGCAGGTGAAGTTCCTCTCCATGCAGCCAGAGCGCTCAGGGCACTGGTGATTGGGGCTTTCTGCAGCACTGCATCCATCAGGAATGGCTGGAAAAAACAAGTGGAAAATGAAGCCACACCTTACAGACCTGCTAGGACACTGCAGAGCTGAAGGAAACCACACACCTGCTGGTCAAAGTGGTTCCCATGGATGGACAGCAGGTCCTGAGGTGGGGGCTGGACCTCTCTGGGAGTGACTAAGGCTGAGTCCACACTTCCCAGCCCAGCACTCACCATTGTGCAGCTGGCAGTGGAAAGCAGCTCTGTCGTCCTCGTGGATCAGCTTGTAGATGTTCTGGTAGATGAGATCTGACTGGAATGACACAACGTGGAGAGCAGGTAGCACCTAACAGGTACTGACCCCTAGCTTTTCTTTGCAGGTGGTAAAAGTACAGTTATTGGGGATAAAGAAATGGGAAGAAAGGGTTTTGAGCACAGCATGGAGATGTACCAGATAAACCTCCACTAGGAATGTCAGGGATCAAACAGGTTCTGTCTTAGAATGTGCCACCGATCCACAACCCACACACAGACTTTCTATTCTATCCTAAAGCAATGGCACGTTTTCCAACTGATGAGGCAGCAGAGAGAGGTTTAAGTTTAGAGAACAACAGAAAAGTGGTGAGGTCTGAAAAATACTTTTGTAAACAGAGCACTGCAAAACCTACAACTTCCTATTGTGTGAGAAAACACACATAGAGCATGCCACAGGTACCAAAGGTGTGCCAAGAGGGTGGAGTGAGCCTGGGCAGCTGCACTATTAGTTGTCCCAGGTGCAATTACAACTAGTGGGTATATTCTGGGAGAATATTAGTGACCTGAAACACACTGCTACCAGGAGAAATCCCACTGGAAGGTATCTACTGTTACCACACACATGTTTGGTGCAACCTGGAAGTGTTGCTGCCTCAATTCTTTTCATCACATTAGAAATACCCATCCTTGTCCTGAACAGAAACTAACATTTGACTAAACCTGTGGGAATCAGTATTCTGGTGCAAACCATCTTCCTAGGAAACACCAGCAAGTCTTCACACCTTCTACCTCCCAACACACACCCCTTCTTTTATAGCCATGTCTTGGAGCAGCCTTTCTCAGCCTGGTCCTGCACAGTCGTGGCCCTGCTGAGCACACAGGCAGCTCAGGCCATCCTCTGCCATGTCCCTGTCCTCAGAAATGTGCCAGAGCAGAACTTCCCACTTAGCCAGACGTACAGGAGGAGAAGACCACTCCCTGACTCAGACAGCTGGTTTGACTTGGGCCACCTGCACATGAGGATCCTCCTACAGTGAGCTGGGAAAGGGTGCAAAGAGAACAAAGAGAGGAAAACAGTCTGCTGTTGAACCAAGAACCAGCACTGCCCACCTCACAGCTTTGTCTACAACAAACTGAGCCTCATCGTGTTCCTGTTGACTTGGTCCTCTGAGCTTTAGAGGAATCAGAGATAATGGGGTGAATAGGGAAAGAGACCTCCTTTTTCTATGGCACCTCACATAAACTCAGGGCACTGGTGATGGTCACTGCTGTGATAACCCCTCCCACCCTCTCAGTGAAGGCAGACGTGCCCATCAGCACGACACCACAGGATGAAAAGCTCACACCCCTCTCACAAAGAGGAAAGGATGTAAGGCCTACCATTGCTCAGTTTGCATCTGTGACTACACAAGCTCACAAGCACGTTTGTTGGCTTTCACAACCCCTGAAGAACACAACTCATTTGAAAACATCCATCAGAAGTGACCAAACTGGGCTGGGAGAGGTAAAGCACTGACATTGGCTGCCAGCATCTCCTTCCCAGGCCTGTGCTGCATCCATGTGTGCACACTCAGGGAAAAACAGCACCCACCTGACGAAAGCCGAGATAGTTCTGCACAGTAGGGGAGATATAGAAGATGTAGCCGTCTTCAGACACAGTGATGACAAACCCATTGAGTGCCTGAAAGTATAAATTGAGCCCAGAGTTACTCTCCCTAGCTTCAGTTTAGCAGCTGGCTGGCTGGACTATCTTAAAGTGTTGGTGTTAATTAGTGGGGAGGTCTCACAATCAGCATGAGCAATGATCAGAGGTAGCCTAGGCATTTTGGTAAACCATTGCGTTTTGTAAAACATCATCTTTGTTCACATACAGGCAGGGCAACTACTGTATTAAGAGGCATCAGCTAAGAAGTACACGAAATAAAGACCAAATTCAGCTGCTGTTATTGTTCAAATATCATAAAGCACCTGAAAATAGCACCCACTTTGTACTTTGAAAGTACAGAGGTGACTATATCTGGAAAGTCAAAGCCCAGACGAGGCCCTGGCACTGTATTTGCAATGTCTGACATGGCATCCCCCATGTCCTAGACATGCAAACTGACATGTCTTCGAGGAGCTAACACCATCCCATTTTAATCAGCTTCTGGTTACTCAGGACCACAATCCTTTCCCATTTGATTTTAATCTTGTTTCTAACTAATGTCTCAGGAGTCTCCATACTTTTAAAGGCCTCTAAACACATCCTGGCATTGAAGTGCCACTATGAGACACCAATCTGCAAAAATTCCTCTGTTCCGGCCTATGTTGCAGATGACAGAAGACAAGACTTTACATGCAGGAAATGAAACCAAAAATCAACTCCATAAAACATCTTTGTGCTCACACTAACTGCCAGCTTCACTTTTTGCCTTCCACTCTACAATTGCATATACATGGCCTGCAGTTAAATACATATCCAACCAGTAGCTACTTGCTTAAAAACGACCTTTGTAGTCATTTGTGTCACATCCTTGGAGGTCAGAAAAACAAATCACAGAACCACGCACAATTTATGAACCTCTACGAAGAATGTTGAGGCTCAAAAGTACTTTCCCCCAACCTTGTAGTCCTGACATGAGTGCAACCTTCAGTGAGCTGGCAGGTTCCCAGTGTGCCTGGGTAATTCCCTCTACCCCTGAATGTGCAATTCAGGGCAACTTTAAGTTGCTACAGTGGTAGAAGTATGATTTCTTGGTATGACAACAAACAAAGCAGAGCACAGGTTGACCAGCTACTAACACCAACTAGCAGGGATGGATGAATCATGGTCCACCCTGCAGCTCATCCTAGGTGCACTGTGATGGATGGGATATTCCAGAACCAGCTGGTCAATGGAAGAAGAGGACAGAAAAATCAAAATTATTTTAATTATCTTGGATTGTTTTAAATCCTGTTAGTTTAAGCATTTTGATTGATACACATCCAGCAGGCAATGAGACTGGTCCCTTCCCTTCATGTGCTGCAGCCCCCACCAAGGAGCCCTGAGTCAAAGCTTTTGGCAAATTAAACTGTATGAATAAAATACTTTTTAAGGAAAAAAATGGGCAGCTCAGCTGTAGAATTTTGATTCCATTAACACCCCACATGCTATCCAGATGCCTTCAATCATCCAGAGCTGCCAATGCTCTGATAGCTCAACAAATTGCCAGCCATCATGTGGCCTGGCTCAAACAAAAGCACTTGGGAGAAGCCTCATAGAGAGACTTGGGCAATTGCTGGCTCCCTTCTGGCTATTGTGTTATTCCTCCAATTCATCTGTGACTATCATACTTGCAGACATCTGAGATGAAGAATCATAGAGGTATTAATGTTGGAAAAGACCACTAAGATCATCTAGTCCAGTCACCAAAGATGGGAGAAGAGAACACAAGATGCAAAAAGCACAGGCACAGGATGTTATGGTATCATGATTAAAGCCACAAAGATCAAATGCCTTCTGCAGACTTGCCCTGCATCCACAAGGAGCATCATATTTTCAGTTGAGATGCCTAAGTGTTTATTCAGCAACCAGCCTTTCTAAGGAACTTTTCTGAGCCATTTCCTTCTGGCTTGCATTCACAAATCACAGTCTGAGCTAGCAGCATTCTGGCCAGGTGAATCACTGTCTCTTTGTTCTCTGACACTTAGCGAGGGCTGTTTCACTAGACATACACTGGCCTTTTCATAAGGCAAACTTGCACTGTCCATTGATGTTGTCCACAATAGCTTCCCAGATCCATCTTCCTTCATTTTCCTCTCAACTTTCAGACTGAGCCTGGATTTCTTCCATTCCAGACAGCTGTGAACTCACGACAGGGAGTTCATGTAGGGAAACCAATTCCTAGTGGACGTGTTATCATACAGCTATCTTCTGTCTCCTCTTGGCATCCACTGGAGCATAAGGAATGCACCACCCTGGAAATTCATTGGGACATTCCCTACACTGCAGTATGATGCTCCTGCAGTCTTCTGGGCAGAATGGACAAGCTTGCACATCGGTACCTGCCACATCGTAAGCTAAGCCATAGCAAACTGTAATATAGGATAAGAGAAAATGAGCCAGGCAGTGCCACTAGTGCCCATCCTGAGGTGCTCGATGCCTTCTCAGGATGCAGAGATCACAGTGAAGCACCTTCTGGCAAGTAAGGGTCTCCTCTTGCTCTACAGCTGGGACCATACATCCCATAGCTTCTGGTGCAGTCTGATGGGCAGGAACCAGACACTGTGTCTGGCAGGAGCTAATGGACAACCCCAAATGACCAAACTAGGGCACAGTACCTGGAGCAGCAGGTCCCCCTCTGGAAATGGCTCCCTGTTGACCTGCAGATGTGTTTGTCCATTCCATCCTGGGGCTCTGGGCTGATTCAGCATGCAGTTGCCAACATCCGTACCTACAGCTGCAAGTAAGGCAGCAAGAAATCAGTGTGGAGGGGCAAACCGGGAGCCTCTTTCTCCACCTCTTCCTCCTCCCCTCCATCTCAGTGCTGCTTGTGAATGGGTGCATCATGCATGTGCAGGCAGCTCAGAGGAAAGAGAAAGAAGTTCATAGTGGGTGGGAGCTGGAGCAGAGCCCCTTTACAAAGACATCCTCACTTGCTCAGAACTTCCTCTAAGACGGCGTCTTCCCCGCTCAGTCCCATTTCTGGGAAATCTCACTTCTGCCCAGGTCTGAGTCAGGAACAACAAACAGGGGAGTAGAGTGTGTCAGGTTGGGAAATACCATCACCACAGTAAGAAATCTTTAGGCTAGGGCCTGGTAGAGTTGGAGCTCACCTCTGTGAGCCAAGTGCTACCCCATTCTTAGCTTCAAGCTGCCCCAGTGCTGTGAGCACTGCAGTGGAGAAAGGCCCTCCTGCCTTCAGGACTGATGAACCTGTGGCTGTGAGCTTCCCATGCTGATTCACAGGATGCTTCATGCTTCCTTGATCAAAGCCTTCAAAGCAACACCCATGGGTGCAGCTGATGGGAAGACCCCTGCCCTGCCCTCAGGCCTCGTCTCACAGGACACACAGAGAACTGGTTGTTCTGGAAACAGCAGCAAGGCCTGGGGACATCCCCAGTGTGCTCTTTCCTCCACTGGGGTCTTATCCTTGAAATAACACTTGGCAGCACAAGCCCAAACTCTACTTCCAACCAGAGAACAACTCTGAAGGCAGGTGTTCTAACAACTCAACTAATCTGAGGCTTTCCTCATGTGTAAGCTCATATTTTTTCCTGCAGGGGAAAGCCATCTGTACAGATACTTCCCACACAAGCAAGAGGTTGATCAGCCTGGACAAGGGATGCGAGCCCTCTGGGAAGGGTTTAGAAAGAAAAGGTTCAACATCTAAAGGTGTTTCAAAAAACAGGTGCAAGGCAGCCATGAGACAGAAGCCCCCACCAGGCTGTGGGGGATCACAATCCCATTTTGCAAAGGCTTTCAAAAAGTCAGCATCCTTACAAATCAGGACAAAGGCAAACCAAACAGAGAGCTTCTCTTATGATTGCCAAGTGATCCACAAGGAAAAACATCCAAAGCCCATTGTACCATTGGTATGGCTTCAATTTGCACATGATGGAGTAGAATAGTTTCAAAGCAAAACTTTTTTTTTTTTTTTAATTTATTTTAATTCTTTTGAAGCGCTGACTCCCCTCTGAAGCATTGAACTGGGGCAGGCTGGCAGGAGAATTCAAAAAGAAACCAAGTTCTTCCAAAACAAAGCTCCCAAGGGGTGGAGAGGATGCACATGGTCCCCAGCTTTTTCCTAGTGTCCACCAGCAGAACCAGCATGGAGAGCTGCAGCAAGCCAGAGGGAGGAGCATCCAACACAAAACACTTGCTTGCTCATTTTATTGTTCCCAGCAAAATGATTTCACCCTCCCCTCTCCACTAGCAGCACAGTATCCATCTTCTCAAGGGGTGTTTTGATTTCTCCTTGGAGATGCACACTTCCCCCTACATTCTCAGTGACAGAATGGTTCATTTCTGCACAGTCGTGCTGGAAAACTGCTGACTCTGCCTCCTATGGGGCATGTTAGGATGGCCTGGCTTGGGTACAGAGAGCAAGTGGCAGGCCCCAGGAGCTGCTACTGAGCTGTCTATTTCCATCAGTCTGATACTTTTGGTTAGGTCTTGGGACTGCAGAGGACTTTGCTGCTGGACTGAGGCTGTCCTCAGGAACCACAACCATTCCTCAGTGGTCCAGAGAATCTGGAGAGTTTCTGTAGGGGAAGAGCCTGCCCACTTCCAAGTGATGACCCTCTTAACATGTCATAACTGACTACTTCGTTTCCCCAGGTTCTCCATAGCTTTCCCCAAGCACCTGCACCTGGATCAAAGCATCCCTATGGCTTTTGCCCCTCCAGGAAAATTTCCAAACTCATTCATGCTCGAACTGCCAAGAACTACAGGGGCTAAAAGTAATCCCACAAGAGATGCCTGAGAACAGCCACACAGAGAACTCCAGGCCTATACAACAATCAAGGGATACAGTGACTATTTTCAATCATTTTAATTTGGAAGGGAAACAAATCCTTTTAATCAAAGAGCAGAAAAAACACCCCATTTGCACCAAGGGTAACCCCATGAGAGAGAGGGAGCACTTGTGAAACATCTGCTCAAGACATTTTACCTCCTGGGGGATTTCACCAGCACATAAATCCATTCCCATCAGAGACAACTGGCCCCACAAAAGGCAGTGCTCCTACTGCACGTGCTGCCTGGCTCTGCTCACTGATGACACAAGCTGATGGCTTCCAGCCCCCTGCCATCCTGCAGCTGCAAAGCATGGCTGGGTGACAGAGCTGACAGGGAGAGCTGTGCATTGGGTAAGTCACCCCCAGTTCAAGACACACATTATAGCACAACATTGAGACTCCCACAAGAAACAGTTGAGATCAAAGGGTTCATCCCATTAAAAGAAACCCCAAGCCTGCCTGAAAACCATTTAAAAGAAGTGGTTTTAGCTCTTTGCTATACTTCATTCCCTTGCATATCCCCCAAGCCCAGCATGGGAGCACAGAAGTCACCGCTGATTCTTTTTTCCCTTTCTTCCTTTCCTTTACTAGATAGCCTGCTTCCATGTCCACTCAAAAATGAGCATAAAATAAGCTTTTGTTAGTTTTTAAGGCTCATGTCAGAAAATCTCAGCACCCTGGTGAATCACATAGCAAAGATTTCCAGGAAAACCAGCAATTAATGTAAGACAGGAGATAGCATGACACACAAGTGATCTGCAGTTACTACACAAATCCCAGGCACTTGCTGAAGTAATTCAGGGACCATTCATGACTTCACTGAACTAGGAAAGAGGCTTTTGGTGGGCAGTGTTAAAGAAGAGGGGAGGAAATACAGCCAGATACAGCAGATACTGGTTCCTGTGAACTGCACATACATCCCCAATAGCATTCTGCTGGGTTGGTGATCCTTGCCTTCAACAGGAAGTTTCTAAGCTTTGCGTGTGGAAAAAGGCCTCAAGAATGAGAAGGAGCAAAGCAATCAAAACTCTTCACCTTTGCTCATTGTATTACTGAAACAAATTACAGCAGTGTGACCACAACAGCTAACACATCCCTGGCAACTGGCATAGCTTTGTCAATGGGAAAAAAATATTATCAGTAAAAGATCCTGGGGTCAGTCCTGCTCCCATAGGTTGAGTTACCCCAGTCAGAGATGAGAGACTTTACCTACAGCAAAAATTCCCCTTTGAACAGATTCTGGAGATGTTTGGTACCATAAAACCAGGAGCTCCCAGCTCTTCCAATAACACCATGCTGCTTGCAACTGTTTTCCTCTTGGACCCAATCCCAAACCCAACAAATTAGCACCAACTTTCTCCTCCATTGTTCAACCACTGCACAGTGCCAAGCAGAGCAAGTACACATCATCCAAGTAAAACATCCTTCTGCAGGTAAATGCCAAACCCACAGATCAGAAACTTGCAAGAAGTCACCCAGTACTCTCCCAAACAGTGCACAAAGCCCTGAGGGAGCCCACGCCAACCCCTCCAACCTGCTACTGCAAGTGCTACTGTATGATCCTGCAGGACCTTGCCCACAAACTTGACTTCTTTCATTGAATTAGTTACTTCAAGACTAGATGCCTGCAACTCAGGGCTGTGGGAATAACAATAAGGAGGTGAATAGAAAAGCTGATTTAATGCTGGCTGCAATGGTGCCCCACAGCAGAGTGTTACAGAGTCAGACAACAGCAGAGGTTAGAAGAGACCTCCTGAGATCTCCTAGGCCAACCCTCTGCTCTAGCAGAGTAAGTCCCCAGCACAGACAGGGCCTTGCATCTATCCCTCCTAACTGCACAGTGCAGGGACAGTGAGCGTCCCATACTGCTGGTGGGAAATGTGGACATAGGAGAACTCATCCTGCAACCCTCTGTCAGATTAATGGTGTTCCAGTGGGGGGCATCAGCTCCCTGTGATGACAGAACCATACTGCCCAGCTCATCCTCAAGGGATCACAGAATCAGAGAATTGAAGGGTCTGGAAGGGACCTCCAGAGATCACTGAGTTCAACTCCCCTGCAAAGCAAGCCCCCTACAGCAAGCTGCACACTTAAGGGTCTTGAATATCTCCAGAGAAAGAGAATCCACAGCCCCCAGGGAGCCTGTTCCAGTGGATGCATTTTTACACCAGCACCTGCTGGTGCTCAATTGCTTGTCTGCAAAGGGCAGCTAACCTTCCCCAGGCTGACAGCAGGCTGTGTGTGGGCCAATGGGTCACAGAGAAGTATCCTACTATTGGCCATTGGTTTTATGAGCTCCAGAGCATGGTCCTGTACTTGGAGAGGGATCTCTACTGCAGATGCTGCCACCTACATGACTTTAACCTGGGACAATGGTATAGCAGCACACACCCTGAGCATGTCCTCTCCACCTGGCAGAACATTTTAAGCTCTGGGTTTTGTTTTTGTTTTGTTTTGGCTGCTCTTGTCTTTAGCACAGCCAGAACTTTGCCACATCAGTAATTACTCCAAGATGTTTCTCCACAATCCTCAGCATCTGCTTCTTTTGATACATGAACTCTAGAAAATGAACCCCAGCACAAATCTCCAGCTAGCTGGAGGCTTTCCAAGCCACTCAGCACTAGGCAAATCCATCCAAGCTTTGAGGTCTCAGTGTTTGCAGCAAGTGGAGGTCCCTCACATCAGGAGTCCAGAGCATCCAGCAGCACTGCAAACACAGAGCCAAGCTTTCCTCCTTTGGCATACTCTCAGAAAGATGAGGATCGGTGAAGTCCCTCCATATTTATCCAGGAGACAGTTGGATCCAAGTCCAAGTAGCAACCACTGCAAATTGCTGTTTGTGGACAGAAATGCGGTGAGGTTCATCTATCTTTTATAGAAGTAATAAAAGTGACTTTAAGTGACTTTCTCTTTTGATGGTTTAAGAGGCTGCTAAGAAGCC